TCCTCCGGCTGTACCGGAAGCAAAACCCTTCTTTCAAGGGGTCAGTCAGTCTCTGCGGCCATTCGCTTGGAAGCGCGATTCTATTTGACATCCTGTGTCACCAGCCCGGGACCAATACCAGGCAGAATGGTGCCTCGAAGGGAATGGCCCAAGAGAGCGACGACTCAACCCCCAAGGGTTCGAGTGCGTTTGATTTCGACTGCGAAGAATTTTTTTGTCTGGGATCCCCCATTGCACTCTTTCAAATGCTCAAGGGTAAGACGATTGGTGGATATTCTGCCTTGGATCCCCGAAATCGTAAAAGTGCTCTAGATGTTGAGATTGACTTGGACTCGCATGGTCCTGGACATGCGCTCCGTGACAATCCCGGTATCATCTCAACGCCGAAGTGTCGAGATCTCTATAACATCTTCCATCCTTCTGACCCGGTGAGCTACCGGGTCGAGCCTCTGATATCTCCAGCGATGGCCACCCTGAAACCCCAGCCTCTACCCTCGGTGAAGAAAAGCCTCTGGACGACCTCTGGTCAGAGTCTATCTATTCTCGGTAGCCGCATGGGCCAAAGTGTGGGATCTCTGTGGACAAATTTCACCACGGGTGTCGCAAGCAGTCTGTTGAACCGCAGCTTGGGTCTAAATACCGATGACGCCTCGTTGGCTGCTCGCACTTCTGGTAAACCAGGTGACGAATCAACCCATAGACGGTCACAGTCAGGCTCGACTCAGCATGGGTCCGAGGGGTCCGATGACCACTATCAGACATTGATCGATCCCGATCTGGAAACTCTTTACGATGGGTTTCAAAAAAGCAGGAGTGTACATCATGGCGAGAGTCCAGATCCCGATGCCGACATTAGCCAAGACCGGAAGCTGAAATTCGAAGACGCTAAAGTGCGTGCTTTAAATGCAAACGGTCGTGTGGACTACAGTATCCAAGAGTAAGACCCTATACCCTGCATTGTTGAGCCTTATTAACAGGAATATAGGGGAGCCTTTGATATTTCATTAATAGCCAGCATTGCCAGTCATCTTACCTATTGGGGAGATGAGGATGTCAATCACTTTATGCTTTCCCAGATGCTTTCTAGAAGACAGAGGCATAAACAAAAACATAGATGAAACCCAAAAATATACTACACTATCTGAAGAGTCTTTTGAGTAGGCCTCCCTGCCTGCTGTGGTCCGGGGCCCCGAGTATATACTTAGTAATTACTTAGTAAGTATCCCCAAATAGGACTAGTTGGTATCCAGTCGGCTAGGCATTAGGTAATCTCAAACTCCCCTACAAAACCTTTCATTTTTCTTTCTTTTCCGTCTTTCTGTGTCCGTTTCTCATGATCCAACCTTAGTGAGGTTGAAAGCTCTCTGCAATAATTCCTAGAATCTTATGGATTTCTTCTTAATGAGGTTGAAATTTATTGTCTTTGATTTTGTGGAAGCTCATCATGAACACAAACGAGGACTGGTGTTATGGCCACATCCCATGTTATGACACGATGATCTTGGGGGTTTCCCTGTAGAGCATTTCCTTTTTCTCTCTCCCAACCGCATCCTTTACATCTGGCATGAAGCGCATGCTCTTTGAATGCTTAGATTCACTCTGATAGCGGAGATCAACTCCTTTCTGTTTAGCTTTAGATTCCTTACTATACAGCTCAATGCTTGTAAGGAAATCATGATTGGATACATACAGTATAGATATATATACATGGTTTAGCTATTATTTATTTGAATACGTACTCCCGTACATTCTTCCAAGTTATAATCTTATACCGAGTACGAGTACGAGGTACGCACTGGCCAACTGTGCCAAGAATTTTCCTATCCCTTATCTTGCTCTATTTTAAATTGTCTACCCCGTACTCGATCTACGTCACATTTAAGCTTGACGAAATGGAGGGTTGACTACAATTACTCTGGACATCTAAATCCAGGATCTCTCGGCATAATGAGTGGCCTCAGTGATGATGACTCCCAAGTCATCTCAAACAAAGACCACAATACTCCCCCGACGCACCCCGTCTCGAATCAAGTGATTTCAAAAGAACTCATCGATGCTACCCTCAACTTTCTCTCTACATCTACCAATGAGACCCTCCTTGCAGTCTTTGCGCTTCTTGCACTCGTCACCTACATTATCCTAGGGAGAATCGGTCTGCTCCTGATTGGAGTGGCTGTGGGGGTTGTCTTACACGCGTCCTGGGAGGGATCGGATATTGAACACGCAGACGGAGCGTCAGACGCAAAAAAGCCTCACAGGCGAAGGGAACTTGCGCTGGAAGTCTCCAACCGGCTTTTGGACTGGCCGAAGCGGTCTGATGCTTCAGACATCCAGGGGGGTGGCGATATAAGTACGCTGGAAGATATGTCATCAGCAGACTTAGAATATGCCACCTTCCAACCGGCCACCGCTGTCGCATTGAGAACGCTCACTAATGCAGTCGTAAAGGACTATGTCAAGTAAGTATCCTTGATTTATCTCCCTTCCCCCACCGTGAAGCAAGTAGCTTACCCCAGATGCAGATGGTGGTATGAGCCACTTTTACCGTCCGAATCAACTTTCCCGGGTTCTTGTCGAAAAATTTTAACGCATTTCATTACATCGGTCTCCTCGCACCTCTCGCGGAAACGAACAGAGGACACATTCTTGCAATTTCTCACCAACTCCTCATCTATCGTCATTGTATTCTTGAATGAACTTGCAGCAGCATTCACCGCCGCGGGCTCCTCCCCGGCGGAAGCTCAAAAAGCTGTGGATCAGTACCTTGAAAATTTTCCTGATAGCAGCCTAGCGAATGTCTTATCTGAGAAACAACAAAAGAAGAAACTTAACATGATTGCGGATGACATACTATCTAATTTCTTGGATGCAAAGACCTACAATTGTCCAGCTGTACGGGACTTCCTCCGTGAGGTTTTTGCGGGAGTGGTATTAGGGTCCACTGTTACCAGTCTTGCCCGTCCTGAATTTATCAATGAATGGATTATCTATCTCCTGCAGGGCGGCGAATCCGAAATCATGCACGCTATCGACGTAGGCGTTGAAGGTGCACGGAACCAGGGCGTCGGCGCTCCCAGGCCTTCAGGAGACCCAAACGCAGACTCTGTTAAAGCCACACACAGAGAGTCCATGCATGTGGCAAGGGCTACAGAGGAAGAGGCAGTTCTAGAGGTGAAGCGTCTAAGCGCTATGATTGTATCCCATGATACGCAGGGCTCAGTGCCAGAACGGCCACGCCAAAACGAACAAATCGACGGAATTGGCACTTTGAAGGCTGATCTGGCTTCAAATACAACTCATGAAAACGAAGATCACCATGACCCGGGCGCAGTGCCCAATACGCAATTACCTGCGAGCCCGAAACTTTCCCAAGACTCTTCTGTGCCACCTTTGATTCTTCATGGGGCACAAGTGTTGGTAGATGATGACGGAGCGAGGGATGAAAAAGGCCAGATCAAGTCGCGACCCATGTGGGATTATTTACTACAGGTCGAGCCAGCGTCAACACGATCGACTGGGTGGATGGTTTTTCGCAAATATTCAGACTTCCAGTCTCTTCATGAGATGTTGGGAACCGTTTCACGGTTGAATCAGATTTCAAGCTTCTCGGAGCGTCACCCCATACTGCCCACCTGGAAGGGCAAAACACGACAAGCTCTCGCTCGGGACCTTGAATGGTATTTACAAGATGCCATGAAGCACGAGTCCCTTGCCGACACTGATCGTATGCATCGATTTTTGGAAAAAGACGCTGGTTCATCCGCTGAACTCACCAGTCCTAACAAACCGGTATTCTCTTTCCCTAGTCAAACTGCGTTTGAAAACATGGGCAAGGGTGTGCTAGGTGCATTGACCAATGCGCCCAAGGGGGTGGCAGGGGGCGGTAAAGCCGTCTTTGAAGGAATGACGGGGGTATTCGGAGGCGCCGCCAATAGCAAGAAACCGGCCGTCGCTGCTGATCAGATTCAACCCAAAGTTGATCACTCCAGTCGCAGCAGTTTGTCGCAGACACGATCCAGCTTTGGTGATCGCAACATGGTAATCAACGAAAATGTTGATTTGCCTGTGTGCCCTAGCGACTCCCTGGAAATTCAAAGACGCGGGATTTCCGAGTCGCCTTCGATCGACAGTACTAGAGAGTCGTTTGGGAATGGGAAAGGTGCATGGACCACCGAGACCTCGCCATCTAAAACCTCGCTTGATGTCAGCGATCATACTGCAGAACCTGATGTCCAGGCGATGGAAACTATTGACCAGACGTCGTCACATCGCCGATCAGAGACTGGGCAGAGTATTGATCAAACCCGCAAGCATGGGAATCCCATCACAGCTGATGAGACGCAAATAGCAGTAGAGCTGATCTTTGCGGTGATCAATGAGTTGTACACCTTGTCGTCTGCGTGGAACATACGCCGGACCCTTTTGAATGCTGCCAAATCGTATATACTACGTCCCGGGAGCCCGACCTTGGAAACTATTCGTACTTTGTTACAAGAATCCATGATAGAAGGCCACACTTCAGATGACGCCCTCGGGGATTACCTTGTCAAGCTTCGTGAGAATGCGCTTCCGACAGAGGAGGAACTTAAAGCCTGGCCCGCTCCACCCAGTGAGGAGGAGAAGATCCGGTTACGGGATACTGCTCGTAAACTATTTGTGCAGCGAGGAATCCCACAGGCCTTAACAAGTGTTATGGGGGCGGCGGCTAGTCGAGAAGCGCTTGAGAAGATCTTTGATAGTCTTCAAGTTGAGAGTGTCGCTCGAGGATTTGTTTTTTCAATTCTACTACAGGGCCTGAGAGTTTTGACTCTCTAAAACAATAGATCATATTTGGAATATACATAAATGAGAGAGTAAGAGTTACAACTATCAAATATACATATATGTATATATAGATGGGGTTTCACGTGATGACGTGTTCACGTTTCGCGTTTCGTGTTTGGACACAACCTCCCGCTTTCTTTTATTTCCCTTCTCACAACCAATCAAGATTATCTCTCATGACATCCAGGAAACGTTCATCCGAGTCAGGCGCTAGCCTTGACAGCGTGCGCCCCAAAAAGGCTAAGGTCAACACTACAGCGGAAGCCAAAACCGACTCTAATGGAGATCGCTACTGGGAAATATCCAAGATGCGCCGCGTGACTATATCTTCTTTCCGCGGGAAAACCCAGGTGAATGTCAGAGAATACTATGAAAAGGACGGGCAGGAATTGCCAGGAAAAAAGGTCGGTCGATCGGGGACTTTTTTGCATAAACCGTGCTAATATTCATTCCTAATTCAGGGTATTTCAATGCCCGTGGATCAATTCGCTACCCTCATCTCCATTCTACCTGAGATCGAGCAGGCACTGAGAGAAAATGGGGAAACCCTGCCTCGGCCTGTCTACACCGCAGAGGGAGGTCAGTCTGATAAAGAAGAACAAGGACAGGACCATTCGGACAACCAAAGTCCATCAAAGCAGAATATCGAAGCAACAAGTGATGAGGAAAGTGAAGCATAATCTTAGTTAAGACTTGTTTTTCGTTTCTTTATTTTAAAATCATAATCAAATTGATGTCGACCGTTTGAATCAAACTATGGTGTGGTCTAGGCTTACTCCCCAATTTCCTTATAGATCACATACTCGTCTCCTGCGTTGTCATGTTGTTGGCAATAGAACCTCCTCGCCAAGCACGACGATGATCTTTCTCATGGAGAAGCTGGCTCTGGTCTCCGACTTGACCCCATCCTCCTCCTCCTGGTGTACGAATAATGATCCGCTCCCCTGCTTGCATCTGGGCGGAATTCTTGGCCCCCAGGTTGATATATCTTTTCTCCCAGATTCCACCTTGCTTTTTCATGCGACGTACCCAGATGTTTTGACCACATTGGGCGTCCTCGCCTCCCTCCAATCCATATGGGTGGTAGACTCTTCGTTCGGAAAGGATAGAGACTTGTACTGGGATGCGGAATTCAATGTCTCGCACGACGCCATCCCCGCCGCGATGTTGACCATTGCCCCCTGAATTCAGTCGCAGACTGAATTCTCGGAGGATCACAGGGTATCGCCGCTCAAAGACCTCTGCATCGGTGATTCGGGTGTTAGTCATGTGTGTATGAACCCCCGAAGTGCCTTCCCAGGTCGGACCAGCCCCGCTACCGCCGGCGATGGTTTCATAGTAACCAAACCCTTTCGTTTCCGTCTCGCCGGGCATATTCCCTCCGAACCCAAATGTGAGGTTGTTGGTATCTCCTTGTGATGCAGCGCAAGCCTGGAAGCACCTCAAAATGACATCGGTCACTCGTTGACTCTGAGAAAAACCATAAGCCTATGGTCGATGTCTCTGTTGAGTATTTGTCATGTCTTACCGTCAAAACATTACCGCCCACTACAGCAGCTGATTCCGAGGGGGATAGAAGACTTCCAGGAGGAATTCGAACGTCAATTGGCTTTAAGCAGCCCTGGTTCAATGGGATATCTGCTGAGATAAGGCATCTCAGGCAATAGATGATCGCTGAGTATGTGACAGCCTCCGGTGCATTGATATTGCCTGTCATTGTCAGCTCAATAAACATTAGGGTTTCTCCTTCAAGGCCACTCAATCATACCATATAATTCTGGGCCTGTCCCCTCGAAATCGAAGGTTGCCTCTCCTTTGTCCCTATCTATTGATATCTTCAACTGAATAGGGCTCCCATCATCCATGTAATCAATAGCACTCAGGTCTTGACCGGCAAACCTCTTGCTCACATCTTTCAGTAGATTACGCACGCTGAGCTCTGCATTGTCTTGGATCTGGTGCATATAGAACTGCACGACAGCCTCACCATACTCCTCGATTAGAGTACTGATCAAGTTGATCCCTTTCTTATTTGCAGCAATCTGAGCCTTGAGATCATTCAGGTTATCTGCTAGGCATCGAGTGCCACTGCAGTTTGGATACCGGGCCGGCTCTTTGTATAGCAATTCTGCGATGCGTTCCTCATCAAACTTGCCTTCTGATACCAATTTTTCGCTTTTGATAGCTGCGCCTTCTTGGTAAAGCTCCTTTGAATGAGGTGGCATAGATCCCGGGAGTATTCCTCCAATGTCAGCTTCATGCAGGTTAGAATATCTCTTTTCCTTCTTTTCCTCCTCTCTTTCACTCGGGGAAAGGTCTTACCATGATGCGCCCTAGAGGCGACATAGAATATGATCTTTCCCTGGCTAAAAGCAGGCTGTAGGACTGTGATATCTGGGAGATGAGTTCCCCCAAACTCCGGGTGATTTGACACGATAACATCGCCGGGCTTCAGTCTATCTTGCCAGATCTGGGCCTGTATCCGTACACAGATCGACATGCTACCGAGATGAACGGGCAAATGTGGCGCATTCGCAACAAGTCCACCTTCTGCGTCGAACAATGCACAGGAGTAGTCAAGTCGCTCCTTTACATTGGTGCTTACACTCGTCTTCTGTAAAGCACGACCCATTTGCTCGGCAATAGCCATAAATCTGTGCGAGAAGACGCTCAACAGGATGGGATCCACATTGTCAGTGCTAATCTTTGGCTGGCTGGCATCGGATTCACCAATATTGATGACGACGTGGGTTTTTGTCAAGAGCGCTGAAGCTCCTGGGGTCACCACGATTGTTTGGGTATCATCGGCTAAAATGGCCGGGCCTTTCACTCGGTCATCAACCTTCAAGTCGTCAAGTTTGTAGATTGGCGTTTCATGCCGGCCGCCCTCGAAGTACACAAGAGATCTGCGATATTCCCGACCCGTCACATCCTTTGGGTTGGACTCCTGGATCTGCTGGTCCACAGTTTTCTCGGATATTTTGAATCCTTTCCCGATTCCTCTCACCCGCACGTCATCCACAATGATGTCCCGGTCTGGGAGAGTAAAACCAAATTCTTGATGGTGTTGCTTCATAAATGCCTTCCCAAAGGCCCATTCGTCACCCTCAAAATGAAGATCGGCCTCCTCTTTGCTGGGTTTGAGTATCATCAAAGCAGATTCTGTGCCTCGATATCGCATATTGAGGTATTCTTCAAACACGATTGAATCATTGCTGAACCCTTGGTCTCGCAACCTCTGCGTAGATCGTTTCTTTAAGTCTTCTATTCTCGAACCAAGGGCATCCCGAACCCCTCCCTTGCCATCGTCAACCCAGGTCTTTGATTCAGGCTCTTGATTTTCATCAACAACGTCCGCTAGTGCCATTCCGTATGCCGAGAGCACCGAGGAATACCGATGGATCAAAATCTGCCGAATCCCCAGGCTCTCAGCAATGGCAACGGCATGCTGGCCCCCAGCTCCTCCAAACGTAGCCAACCTGTGTTTTGAGGTGTCATGTCCCTTGGCCTCTGTCAGAGATCGAATGGGCCGGGTCATCGTCTCGTTGGCTACCTTGATAAAACCAAAGGCAACCTCGTCAGGGGACATTTCTCGGCTTTGGCCCCCTTTGGCCAACTTGTGGTTGATTTCTTTGGTTAGTTCCTCAAACAATACCCGACTAGCTTGTTCATCCAGTCCTTTGGTTTCATCTGAGCCGAAAATCTTCGGAAAGAAATCTGGGGCCAACCGCCCAAGGAATAGATTGGCATCAGTTACTGTAAGTGGTCCACTCTTGCGATAGCACGCGGGACCTGGATGAGCTCCTGCTGACTCGGGCCCAACGACGAAGAGATCGTTACGGTAAAACAATCTCGAGCCGCCACCTGCAGCAACAGTGTTGATATCCAACTGAGGAGACTGAATTGTCACTCCGGCGGTGGTTGTCTCAAAAACATGCTCGTACCGACCGGATCCGTATCTGCTAACATCTGTGCTCGTCCCTCCCATATCAAACCCTATTACGGGGATCTTTGACACAGGATCGTAGGAAGTCAACGCATAACCCACTACTCCGCCAGCGGGTCCTGACAAAATTGCTCGAAGGCCTGAAAATTTGTCCACATCCACAAGGCCACCGTCTGATTGCATGAATTCACAGCGTGCGCCTTTGGCGCCCGCCTGCTGTTTGACACTCTCACTGCCTAGACCACCCTCGAATCCAGCTTGAAACCCAGAGATATACTTCTTGATGGCAGGAGTCAAATATGCATCGGCGCAGGCTGAAGTGGTCCTCGGCACAAGTTTGATCATCGGCATGAGCTGGTGACTCAAACTCACATGGTGGAAACCAATATCCTTGGCTATTCTTCCCACTAGTGCCTCATGGTCTGGAAAGGTGTACCCATGTATAAGACATACTGCTACGCTTCTGATGCCATGGCTGTATACCCCTTTCAACTGTGATCTCACCAAGTCCTCAGATGGACGCTTCAGTATGCGAACCGCTTCCGAAGAAAGGCCGCGGACAACATCGGCTTCTGCCCGGATCTGTTCCCGGGGAGTAGTGGGAGTGGTGTTTCGTTGCGGATCTTCTGCGTAGTCTTCCAAGGTGACGCGCTCATCCACCTCGATCACCTCTTCGTAAAGAACGTCGGGACGTTTGATGGCAAGGTCAAATATTCTGGGACGAGACTGATTTCCAATCTTGAGGCAGTCTTTGAAGCCCTTGCTTACCACCAGTGCTACCTTCTCCCCCTTCCGTTCGAGCAGCGCATTTGTAGCCACAGTGGTGCCCATGCGGATGCTCTGGATCAAAGAAGTATCGATAGGTTTCCCGCGAGGGATTTCATGGCCTGTAAATTTGGAAAGAATGCGCCGAATACCCTCCAAAGGCGCATCTTTGTAGTTGTTGGGGTCTTCCGAGAGCAATTTAATCACGATGTCATCTTCCAAGCGGCCCGTCCCTGGATTTCCAACGCAATCCGTAAATGTCCCGCCTCTCTTTTGACATGTTAGTGTTCTGGATAAGTAGTGAAGGGGAAGAAGACGAATACATCGATTGCAATACTGATTCCTTGTGTTGAACTCATGGTAAAAAGTAGTTGAAGGTTTCAAGTTCAGGGTGGACCGTTTCCCCACAAGTATACTACGTCATGCTTGATGGCAAAAAATGGATTTATAGCCTTTTTGCTTTTGATGCTTTAAAACCTAGCTCCCATAATTGACCTCTCACATACAACTATGGTACTACAGTAGTTCGGAAAAAGTATGGCGATCGATCGAGGGCGAGGAATTGAAATAATCGGGTTCAAATTAAATTGCGAACAAGACGGAGGGCGAAACGGAATTCATCGTGGTATTTGGGCGCGGACTTGGAACGATCGCTCGACGTTCGCTTCGGTGGGATCCGAGCTGCTGACCAGGATAAATTACCAACCTCAAAAAATAAAAATGGGAATAACTCGGGGAAAAGCAAAATCGAAAAAAAGAAGTAGGGGAAGCAGGGGTTACACGTTCACTTGGCCCCGGCTTATCCCGAAGAGCAAGCTTCACGCCATTTGAAATCAGAAACACAGAAGGGGGACGAAATACGAGATATGCCAGATGTATCGAGAGCAACACTGAGGCGATAACCTTATCCCCCCCACCCATCCCCCTGGTTGGTACAACCGCAGATGAAGGACAACCTTCAGAAGACGAAAACAGAATGACGGGAGACATGGGTCGAGAGCGAAAGAACGTAAGACTGAGTTGATCTACTCAGCAGTATCGAGCTCGTCATGAGCAGAGGGCATTGGGTCCAGGGGTACTGCGGTGTGTGAGTGAAAAGAACGTTTTATAGGCTACATTCCGAGGCAACTGACCTTTCCTCTCCTCACCGTTGGGACCGTTCTCACGGTCCTCCTCACGACGCTCCCGATCATCATCGCGTCTTTCCCGGTCATCCTTGCCATCACGTTCGCGGTCATCGGGGCTGCGAGAGCGATCACGAGAACGGTCGCGATCACGTCGATCGTGGTCACGGTCACGGCGGTCAGAATCACGGTCGCGGCGGTCGTAATCGCGGTCAGTGCGGTCGGCATCCCGTTCGTACCGATCGTCTCGGCGAGGGGAATAGTCACCGCCACGGCTACGACGAGGGGATGGGGAGCGACCACGGCGAGGAGGAGTGCGATCACGGCGACGATCACGGCCAGCATCGCGGCCAGCGTCACGGGGAGCGTCACGGGGAGCATCACGGCCAGAGCCAGAGTCAAAGCGCCAGGAAGCAGAGGGAGGAGTGCGTGCCCACTGGAGATAGGTTAAAAGAGAATTAAGCAAGCTTTGGAGGATATGCTTACCTCAATCTTCAACAAATCATCGCGGCCGATGCGCTTGTTGTGCATCTCATGGTAAGCATCATCGGCATCGCGGCGGCTCTCGTATTCAACGAAAGCGAAACTAGGCGATTTAGATTAGACAGGTAAAGTGGTTTCAGATAATATCATTCAACTCACAGTCGGCTGGAGGGAGTGCGCGGGGCAGGGATATCACAGCGAACAAGACGCCCATAACTAGTTTCAGAATCAGTTGAGCTAGCTTCAGGTACCGGTATCGAGAGAAATTATGATGACCAAGACTAGCTAACAGTTGCCCAAGGAGTGAGACGGGGCAACGTAGACACAAGCTTCCACGCCAATGTCACGCTAGTTGGAAGAAAGAAGAGCGCCGTCCAAGGCATTTGCCATTTGGTCTTCATCGGGAGGTCGTCGGAATGGGGATCGAAGTTCGTAGGTGCGAAGGTAGAGGCGACACGTACCGTTCGAATTCGTAGGCAAGATCGCGAGCACGGGTGCCATGGCCAAACCCGGTAACATACAATGTAGTTCCAGAGCGGGAAGACATGGTGCCGTTAGCACAGAGCAATGGAAAAGAGAGAAGATTGGGTCAGTTGGGAAAGAGTTTGAAAGAATTTGAAAGGAAAGGTGGAGCTTAAGAAGCTTCAAGAGGATTAAAGAGTATAAGGAAGAGAGAGAGAGGGAAAGAATTTAGGAAGGTGCTACGGTGGATCAAATGTACCAATGACGCACTTGATGAAAGAAGTTTCATTTTTTTATTTTTTTTATTATATATTTGTATATATTTTGAGATAGTATTCTCTAGATAATTCATTTACAAATATGAAGATTTTTGAAAAATATATGTAAGTAAAGACTTCAGTCTATGGTTGTTGAAGATCTAGGCATATAAGACTCTTAGACCCCCAAGGCACAGGTACGTAATTTAACTAAGTGGCGGACTAACTATCGGGAGGTACCGTGTCTGTCGGTAAGTCGGGATGTTCTTCTCTTTCTAAACCTCTTGAAGCACCTCGACTCAGGTATACACCACTATTGTGTGATCTGTGACACCTTTCTCTTGTTTACTGTTTCTTGTTACTTGTTACTTGTTACTTGTTTTTCTCCTGTTCAACTACACGTCTACATTGAAGTGGAAAAAGCAACTCCGGCCCCAACAACTCATCTGATCATAGCAAAGCCCTTTTGTTTTTGACCTTGCTTCACCTTTTTGGCAAACCCACTATCAGCATTACCTTTTATACCTCAGTTATATGGCCATTGAAACCAACAATACACCACTGGAAACAGGATCAACGATGTGCTTTTAGATCACCAAGCCTCGGGAGACAACCAACCTTCATGGCTAGCACTACACCCATGGTGCTTCATCGCATTTGATTTGCAGCAACAATCAAGCTTCAATTTCCAATCAAAAGAATTGCGAGAAATCATTACACCGCAGACTACAACAGGCTTCTTTATTAACCCCAGAACCGTATGTGCATACCGTCAAGATGAGCTTAGATCGTCAGGATGCTGTTCAGAAAAAGGAGTTGGAGGGTGCAGCAAAGCCTGCCTTGCAGAATCTGTCCAAGTTTCCCTCCGGTTCAAATCCAGTCAAGGTGAGAAGGACAATCTGACCAAACCGTCCATATGAGTTAGGAGGCTGACATGTTGATTAAAGCAGGAGCTGATTAATGACCAACCTCCCTCAGTTTGGGCTCGTACTAGAAAGAACCTCGCCGAACCAGTGGTGGCTGCATTTATGGCCGGTGGAGTGGCTGGCGCAGTTTCCAGGACGATAGTGTCACCACTCGAACGATTGAAAATTCTTCTTCAAATTCAAAGTGTCGGTCGAACAGAATACAGACTGTCAATCTGGAAAGCCTTGGTGAAGATGGGCCGGGAAGAAGGCTGGCGGGGCTTCATGCGAGGAAATGGGACAAATTGTATTCGCATTATCCCCTACTCTGCGGTACAGTTTGGGAGCTATAATTTTTACAAGCAAGTGGGTGGATGTTCATATCCTGTAGTAGGTTTCGATGCAAACTGACATTTCTTTGATCTAGTTTGTAGAGTCTTCCGATGGTGAGATGACCCCAATGCGTCGCCTTATTTGTGGAGGTGTTGCCGGCATCACCTCGGTGACCATCACCTATCCTTTGGACATTGTTCGAACCCGGCTTTCCATTCAATCCGCTTCATTTGCCGATCTTGGAGCAAGAGACCCAGGCCAAAAACTGCCAGGCATGTTCACCACAATGGCTATGATCTATAAAAATGAAGGTGGGACAAGGGCTTTATATCGTGGAATTGCTCCTACGGTTGCTGGAGTAGCCCCATATGTGAGTTTTCTGTTGAATTCGACTTGATCACAACTAACAAGTGACAGGTTGGACTCAATTTTATGACCTACGAATCGGTGCGCAAGTATCTGACTCCGGAAGGGGACAAAAACCCTAGCTCCTATCGAAAATTACTGGCTGGCGCGATATCTGGAGCAGTCGCCCAGACCTGTACCTATCCTTTGTCAGTTCTTTTATTCTATTGGCTAAGCCCCATAAAACTGACTTTTACTTAGCGATGTGCTACGCCGGCGATTCCAAATCAACACAATGTCGGGAATGGGTTACCAATACACCTCGATCTGGGATGCTGTGAGGGTTATTGTGGCTGAAGAGGGACTACGTGGACTCTTCAAGGGGATAGGGCCAAATCTTTTGAAAGTTGCTCCTAGTATGGCCAGCAGCTGGTTGAGCTTTGAAATGACTCGTGATTTCTTCGTCGGCTTGAATGATAGAGAATAGTTCAGATAAAATGTACGTAAATAGTTTTTTTCATTATTATTATGGACATTTGATTGTACACAATGCACATTTATACATTAAAAAAAGGGGATTGTAGAATAAAATAAAAAATCTGGTAAATCAATGATGCATATGGAGTCCTGCCATTGAAGATAAGGTTCATTTCAGGGCTGGAGTAAATTCTCTGATAGAGACCCACATATCATGTGACGGGTGGCCAATTCAAGATTGAAGTCACGTGGTTGTAACCAAGTCATGTGCCTCGCCTTTCCTAGTCAAGTCTAGCGTAGGGCTAAACCCACACACCACTGTCCAGCCGAAAGTCAAGGATCAAAAACCTCCTGCACTTTCCATACGGGTGCGACAGCAAGCTATTTCCCGGGAAGTCGATCAATACACAGCCATGGGTATGTTAAATCATCTCCGTTCACTCGACTATCGCATCTCGCAGCATTCATTCGAACCCCTTTCCTTTTTTGGTCGTTCTCAGTCCAATCCACTGACAATTTACAAATCGCAGGTATCGACCTGGACCGCCACCATGTGCGGAGCAGCCACCGCAAGGCTCCCAAGAGCGACAACGTCTACTTGAAGGTTCTGGTGAAGCTCTACCGCTTCTTGGCTCGTATGAAACCCCCCGATTCCGAATTTCGTTTGCAGCGCAATTTCTACAGGTGTACCGTTTTGAGGATTTAGTGAGGCTGATATGGGATGCATGATAGGCCGCACCGAGTCCAACTTCAACAAGGCCGTCCTCCGCCGTCTCTTCATGTCGAGAATCAACCGCCCCCCGGTTTCCCTTTCTCGCGCTGTCTCCAACATCAGCGAGGCACAGAAGGGCAAGACCGTCGTCGTTGTCGGCACCGTCACCGACGACAACCGTCTTTTGACCGTCCCCAAGCTGTCGATCGCTGCCCTCCGTTTCACGGCTACCGCTCGCGCTCGCATTGAGAAGGCCGGTGGTGAGACTTTGACTCTGGACCAGCTTGCTCTCCGCGCTCCTACCGGTGCCAACACTCTCCTCCTGCGTGGACCCAAGAACGCTCGTGAGGCCGTGAAGCACTTCGGCTTTGGTCCTCACACCGACAAGGTGCGTTATTTTGACTGGAAAATGAGATGGTATACAAATTTACTGACTCAAAACAGAAGCCGTACGTGGGCAGCAAGGGCCGCAAGTTCGAGCGGGCTCGTGGTCGCAGAAGATCCAAGGGTTTCAAGGTTTAAGGGATCTGATAAGGATGATGCGGTGTGTATGTATTGTGAAAGATGCATTGGCCACATTGACTTTCTCGGTGCCTGGAATCATTCCAGATCTAGCCAGAGACCTCAAGTCTGTGTACTTAAAAATGGCGGGATGCCTTTGGTTGGACTGGAAAATGAGAATTTACGAATGAAGGGGCAAAAGAAAATTGAATCAGGCTTTGTCCTAAGTTTTTTCTTATGGGATTTTTCAAACAAGAAAGCAAGAAAAAAAATCTGTTCTAAAATGATATTCTTCTATGCGTTGCACTAGGGAACCAATCACTGCTCTATGGGCAGATTAGTATGGAGATATCTCTTCCCTCCTTCCCCATCATAGTCCGCTGCCCTGTGACCATTTCCCCGGATTAAGTACTTGTAGATGGTCAGGCCCTCAAGTCCAACGGGTCCTCGGGAATGAATTTTGTTGGTGCTGATGCCAACTTCTGTGCCAAATCCAAACCGCATGCCATCGGCAAATCTAGTAGATGCGTTCCAGAATACACCCGCACTGTCAGTTCCGCTCATGAACATATCCGCCGCCTCTTTTGACCGAGTCAAAATGATCTCTGTATGCTTGGATGAATGCATGTTTATATGGGCAATGGCAGCCTCGACGGCCGTGATCGGAGAGTCAGTCGATGGAATGGTTTTCACTGCCAACACAAGGTCCAAAAATTCAGTGTTATAGTCGGATTCGGTGGCCGTTTGTAATTGCGCTGATTTCTCGGCTGGCAATGTCTTCGTCAATGCAGATTTTGAATCAGCATCACAACGAAGAGTCACGCCTTTCTCTAGGAGAGCAGCAGCTACCGCCGGGAACACCGAGTCAAGGGTATCCTCGTGGACAAGCAAGGTCTCCAATGAGTTACACGCCGCTGGATAATTCGTTTTCGAGTCCACAATCACTTTCACAGCGGTATCGATATCGGCATCGGCGTGTATGTAAGCAGAACAAAGGCCGTCGGCATGTCCAAGCACAGGGATTTTCGTATTATCTTTCACGAAACGGACAAGTTCGTTGGAACCTCGGGGAATGACCAGGTCAATCAACGAGTCCTGAGCCAAGAGAGAAGACACTGCATCGCGTGTCTTAACCAGCTGGATTGATGATACTGGCACCTGAGATTCGGCGATGGCTTTAGAGACAACTTTCGCAATTGCCGCAAACGATTCCATGGATTCCTTCCCACCTGCAGATTTACGTTAATTAGGCAATGTCGTGAAACCTTGTGGGGGCGTGCGTGTACCTTTCAGAATAGCAGCGTTACCTGACTTGATAGCCAACGCAGCGATGTTTGCTATTACCTCTGGGCGGGCCTCAAAGATAATCAGTAGCACACCGATAGGGCAGCTGACTCTCTCGAGTGTCAGACCATCGTCGAGGAGGGTTCGTAGTGTCACTTTGCCAACTATGGTTGTATTATGTTAAATTTTGTCGCAATGATTGAAGTTCGAAGATAGGGGCACTCACTGGGGTCATCCAAATCCCGTACACTCAAGATTCCATCAAGCATGTCTTTGTATTTTCCAGGCCGCGACAGATCAAGTCGCTTGAGCACGCTATGACTCAAATTCCCGCTCTCGGCCGCAATAGTAGCAATTTCCACATCCCTAGCATTGGCTGCAAGGATATCTTTCTGGTTCGTTTCCAATGCATCATGGAGCAACGTCAAAGCTTTATTGCGGTCATCGTTGTTTAAGGTTGCAAGGCGACGAGAGGCAAGTGATGCGCTATGGGCGACATCAATTGCTCCGGATTCGGTCAATGACATGTCGAATAATCTCCGTTCCTAAACGGATTAAACAACAAGTGTAAAAAAATAAGTGAAAGTAGTAGTATAGAAGAAAGGCAAAAGAAGAAAAAAATGAGTCAAAAGTGTGGAGGGGCACGTTATCGATCCCGCTGCTCTCGGACTTACCCACCTTCCCGAGATGCCTCTCTCATAATCATCACACTCCCTACGTCACATTTCTTTACATACACATACCTACAACATCTACAACGTAGGTTTCTTTTGCAATTTTATCAACTTCTCACCTCTCCCCCCTTCGCTCTTCCCTTCATCCAACCTGGTTTCTCCATCGTATCGCAATCCTAACACAAAAGCTCAAGACATCACACTGGTTTGAAACAAGACGCCTTTGCGTATTTGACGCCAAATTATCTTGTGTTCTTTTTTCATACATTGCCAGGATGACACTCCTCTCGGATATTACCTCTGCATCGGCACATTTACACAACTCTAACCAGCTACCGAGCGATGAGTATGACCGTCGGATCCGCGAGCTAGTTGAATACTTCAGGCGGCTACAATCCACCAAAGCTCTCGACTCACTTGCCAATGATAAGTCTGTTCTCGATGTAAGCAGCTTTATCTATATCAAGCCTCGTCTATGAAAATTATATGGGTTCGCAGCTAATATGCATTTGTCTTTAGCGTTTTGACCCAGCGATAGATTCTATCCCATATCTTTTCGTGCTACATGTGCAAATACAAAAAGCACAGGAACTCAATGCCGATGAATTTCCAGCTGATATCCGCCCCTCCGGGAATCTATGGACGTATGCTGCACATCTTCTGACGAGTTTCGATGGGGTCCAAGTCAGATACGCTGGACAAGAATGGCGTCTTCTTGTTGAGCTGGTGGGGCAAGCCTCGCAAGCTGCATCAATGGCAAGTCGGCTATTTCTCACCGTTTCTTAAATTTCACTGCTAATTTAGCCCGATACAGCCACTGCTAGGCGCTACGCTAGTAAGGGACGCCATGCTTCGTCTCGACCCGTCATGTGCCGTTTTCACCTCGAATCACCTTTTGCTTGTCCGGCTTTGTCTCCGGGGCAAAGCATATTCGTGTGCATTGCCTATCTTAAATAAGCAGATTTGTCATTTCCCAATTTCGCTGGGGCGTTCCTCCTCAGAGCCCTCCATGCTCTGTGCGGATCATGGGTCAAGTGTATCCTTTATGACTGAAGCTGCTGGGATCTCATCTAAGCTATCATATCGAGAATACTTACAGTACTTTCTTTATGGTGGTTTAGTATACATGGCGTTGAAGGAGTGGCGCAATGCACTTCATTTCCTTGGGATTGTCATCTCTGCGCCAAGTACTAGCTCTGTGAGCTTGATTATGGTGGAGGCGTACAAAAAATGGGTACTGGTAGGCCTACTCGAAAAGGGCAAGGTAAGCTATCTCTTCACTGAAAAAAGAAGAAAAAAAAATAGGCTCGACGGTATTAGCCCTATTATTTTCTTGAGCTAACTCTTTCCGTGGGCAGCTCTGTCCGCCTCCAAGCATCACAGCACCTCATGTGGTGAAAGTGTATCAATCACTCGCGAGGCCCTATATTATTCTTGCTCATGCATTTGAACGTGGAGATTTGAAGAGACTCAATGCTGAAATCGATGCTGCCACGGGAGTCTGGTGCGCGGTAGGTCACAGCTCTTATTGATTCTCTAGGTTGTGTCGTCTTGACATTCAGAGCTAATGCCGCCGCTTTAGGACAATAATGTCGGTCTCGTTTCCCAGGTAGTGGGTGCTTTCTTCAGTCAGACCGTTATCAAGCTTGGGAAGACTTTTGCAGCTTTAACAGTGGCAGACCTTTCAAAGCAGGTGTTTCCCTCCCCTGTGTGTGCAGAAGGCATTGGATCCGCAGTTTCATCCCTCATCATGTCTCGTGCTTTGAACGCGACATTGGTGCAGACCAAAGATCATGCTGAGTCTTCTATGCTACGGTTCTCATCCATTCATTCGTTGCCTCGTCTCTCTCATGAGTTGGACTTACAGTCCCAGCTCAAGCAGGAGATGAGGCTGATGGAGACCCTGGTGATTAATATTGGGGAAACCAACAATAACCTAGGATTAAGTGATGAATACGTTGATAACCTGAATAAGGGTCAGGTTTGGTCGGGTTCTAGTGAAGTCAATCCCATTGTAGGGGGCGAGGCTGGGCTTGAGATGGATGAAGATCTGATGGGTGACATGTCCTGAGTTGATCTTTATGGTATTGAGGAGCATAAAGGACTGAATAGTCTTGCCTTTGGTTTCATTGCTTGCGGTGCTGGTCACTTATAGTGTATGTAGACTAATAACCGTGATAATCATAATAAATGTAGGAGTTGGATATCCATGGATAGTCACACCGCAAAAGGTTTTCGGGGATCTCGCCCACACCCGTGTTCTTAAACCACGCGTGGATTAACTCAGCACATTTTAATTAATGACACTACGTCCTATCAATTCTAGAGAACTAGAATTACCATTTCTACTCCAGGGCTGTTATATATGATTACATTAACTCTCAATAGGCGAGTGATTATAGTGGAGGGTAGACTGCGGCACGATCCGCAATATCCGCAGCCTAAAGGATTTGGATATTGATATCAAACAGAGCAAACATGCCTAGACTCGTGGCCTCGAGTGGTGTGCATTATTATTATACATCCCTCTATATTTTTCGTGTAATGCTTGGTACTCCAAGCTGTTGAATATCACTAGGTAAGTATAATTTCTGACCGAGGTTAGAAATTATAGGTGGAAGGTTAAGCACTACTCTACTTATAGTAGTAGTACCAGGGGGCTTTAGCGCCCCCCGGACCCCCAGCCTTAGCGGGGGGCGGGGGTAATAACGCTTAACAGGGGTTTAATGCTAAAAGGACTCACCCCACCCCTCACCCGTACGGGGGGGTAGGGGGTAGGGTAGGGTTCTATAAGAGGTTATAGGGGTAAAATAGTAGGTAGGTAAATTAATAGATGAAAATTTAAAGGATAAAACTAAAGAAGTAAAAAAGGAAGTAGAGATAAAGAGTAAAATTCAATTGTTATAGTTGTTATAAAATCTCACTAATGAATTATTTAAAACTAACCGGCCTAGGCCTGGCAGCACCAGACACTTGGTTCGGTGCTATAGTGCTGCAGCACTCCCGCTGCAGCACTATAAATAGTGCAAACACGACTAACCTCGTGATATACATAAGTTATGTAGAAAAGCCAGTAATTTTGGGGTATTTTATTTATAGTAAATAGGGAATCTAGAAAAGATTATTATTATATTTGTTTAATTATTTGCGCTTTATTTAGTCCTCTTATTATATATATATTTATTATTATCTCTCCGACGCTTCCGTTCCCTATATAGACGCTAGCTATCGCTTTATACAATTCTAACTATTAGGTGATGATTTAGAAGTTTAACTAAGTCTATCTCTTGATCTAACGTATTTCACTACCGAGCTGCGCACACCACCGAGCTGCGCACCCCACCTAAAACGCGTCCCTAAATTTGCACTTAATCAATTCAACCACCCACTATGCCACCAATTCGCTCTCAAAGCTCTCGAAATTCAATAGAGCAAGAAGGCAGGATCTTATTAGCTACTCAGGCTATTCAGAAACAAGAAATAAGCTCTGTTCGTGAAGTAGCACGCCGATTTAACGTACCCGAATCGACACTCCGGACACGCCTACGTGGCGTTTAACACCGCGCGACTTCTCGTGCTAATTCTTATAAACTAACACAAATTAAAGAGGATTCTCTTCAAAAATAGATTCTCTCTATAGATTCTCGGGGATTAGCACCTCGGCCTTCTATAGTTCGAGAAATAGCGAATCTTCTTCTCGAAAAGCGCGGAACTACCCCGGTCCTTTTAGTCGGCGAAAATTGGGTTATAAAATTTGTGAAAAGGAACCCTCTCCTATCCTCCCGATTCTCGAGACGCTATAATTATAAACGTACGAAGTGCGAAGACCTAAAGATTATTTAGGAGTGGTTTAATCTTATTTAAAATACCATCCTTTAATTTAGAATCGACCCCGATAACGTTTATAACTTTAATAAGACTGGTTTCGTAATAGGGTTAATCGCTACTACGAAGGTGATAATAAGGAGCGAATTCTACGGTCGGCGCTCGCTTTTACAACCTAGAAATCGCGAATAGGTAACTACTATTAAGTGTGTAAATATATCGGGTTAGGCCCTCCCTCCGTGTATTATTTTTAAAGGCAAAGTCTACTTAGAATTATGGTTCGAAGGCCTACTAAACGACTAGCGAATTAAAGTTAGTCCTAATGGTTAGACTTTAGATAAAATTAGACTTCGCTGGCTTAAAAAGCTCTTTATTCCTAGCACTTCTCTTCGTACGAAGGGGAGGTATAGGCTACTAGTTCTTAACGGACACGGAAGCTATTTAACCCCGAAATTCGATGAAATCTACGAGCAAAATAGGATAATACCTATCTATATACCTCCGCACTCCTCTCACCTTTTATAGCCTCTTAATATCGGCTGCTTTGCTATATTAAAGCGATTATATAGTCGGTTAGTAGAGATAAAAATGAGACGCTAAGTTAATTATATTAATAAACTTGATTTCCTCGATTTATACCCACTCGTACGAATCGAAGCTTTTAAATCGGAGACTATTAAGAATAGCTTCGGAGTAGCTAGTTTAGTCCCTTTTTCACTAGAAAGAGTGATCTCGAAGCTAAATATTTAACTTCGAACCCTAACACCCCCTCCTAGTAGGGGGAGCGATTTAAGCCGGAATTTCACACTAAAAACACCTACTATAGAGAAAGAACTACGTCGATAGGCTTCGTTAATCAAAGCTTTACTTCGTACGAGGTCTCGAAGCCCGCCTAGCCCGTTAGATCGTGTATTAAACTAGCTTATAAAAGGCTTCCGTCTTATAATATAAAGCGCTATTTTATTAGCGAAGGAAAACTAGGAATTACGCGCTAAAAATGAGAAGTAGAAGCAAAAGCGGACTAGATCCCGAAGGTATATTGCTTCTAAAGAGGGCCTTTTAATTGAAGAAGCCTCTACATTAATTTTGCAGCAATAGGGAGCAAGTGAAGCACCTCCCCCCGGCCCTAGCACCTCTAGAGAATCGGCTATTCAGCCACGTACTCGGCCCCCCGGGGGTGTGGAATATACAGATTACTAGGGCATCGAAGGGAAACATATCTAAATAGACCAATTAATTAGTTGAATTAATTTAATGTGTTTTGGTTAAGATAAATGCCTTTGAAATTGATCGGGTGATTTAGGTGCGCAGCTCGGTGGTGTGCGCAGCTCGGTAGTGAAATACGTTAGAGTCTCTTAATCTAGAATCTCCTAATCTAGAGGTAGGTCTAGGTCCTAGAGACTAGGTGAAGTATCACGATTATAGGTTTCTATATTATCGGCTTTAGATACGTATTCGGTTTTAGACTTAAGTTCCTTATTATCGCTGATACTAGCTATATTATAATTAGATAGTTAGGCCTCTACCTCCTTATCGGCCTCTATCCTCTTACCTAGGTCCTAGCTTTCTATAGATAGCTAGCTTTAAGCGTGGTTTATATTAAAACGCGTTATATAGCGGAGTATTATTAGATCTTAAATAGTCGTTATATTAAGAGATCCACGTCTATAATAATAGATATCCCACGCTAAGCTAAATAACCGTTTAACTCCTACGCTAGTAGTAGGAATAGAGAAGATATCCTAGGCTAGCGCTATAAGGGTTAGGAACTAGGTCTTATATTATCTCTAGAATTAATATAGGTTATTATTATTATTTCTTATAAAGTTAGTATATATTATAGTTTTAAGTTCTATAGTATATATACGAAGATTAAGATAACCTATTAACTTATCTCGCTAGCTAACCTTCTCTTAGATAGCTAATCTCGGTCGGGTCTATATAAATAGGCTAGGTATACTCCTAGTTCGTTATAGAGCCTTACCTTTATTAACTAATTAAGTTATAGGCTAGCGCTAATAGTATCGCTTAAGGTAGGAATATAGAGAGCTTTTATATACTATATACTAGTCCGTATTATCCCTAGCCTAGTCTACTCCCTTAAAGTAGTTAAGCTTATATATAGGGGTAAGGGTCGTCCCTATTATATAAAGATACCTATAAGCCTTATTAGTATCCTTATAGTAAGTTATAAGCTTCTATTCTCTAGCCTTTAAAGTATAAAGTATCGCCTTTTTCTAAGTAACCTTCTTCCGATATAGGCGCTCCTAAGAGTCTTTAAAATATCTAAATAGTCTATTATATACCTCGAACACGTAATAAATAGTGATATCCTTAACCTTAGATAGTCCGACTATCTATATATAAAAAGGGTTTATAATATAAAGTAGGTATTTAACCTACTACTACTTTTATATACTTAGCTAGAACCGAAGCTAGTTATATAGAGTATAGTACCTATTAAACGTAATAGATTGACGATTTACGCGCTAAAGTATTAGATATATTAAATTCTAGGTATATCTTATATTAGTACGAGCTTCGGCTTAGTATCTTATAGTGTTAGAAAGAACTCCTATATTTAGGGACTAGCGTTAATATAGACTATAAAAGCACGGATCTAGAAATAGTATAAGTATACTTTAATAAAGATATTAAATAACTAACCTTTATAGGTATATAGATAATTTATTTCTTAGATTTAGCCTCTTAAAGAGCCGACTTATTCTCTTCCTCCGACTAGATAGTATCGGCGGTATTATTATTTAGGTTAGCTTTTATTAATCTAAGGAGGTCCTCTAAGCTAAGCTAAATTATATAGGTAAGGTATAGAATTCGTATAACCTATATACTATCTAGGAGATTAAGCTATTCGATCGACTAGTAAAGGCTCTCTATAAGTGTTTTATTATTAGAGGTGTTATCGGTAGTCACTATAAGCACTCTATTAATAATATTATACTACTATAGTACATCCTATAGTATCTCACTTAGGTGACTACTAGTGTGCTAACTATATACTAGCTTAAAGCCTAGTAGTATCTTATAATAATTCTAGCTAGAATCTATAAAATAGCTAGTAATTACTATAACGCTTATTAAAAAGGTGAAGTCTAGTAGTTAAGTGCTATAAAAAGCTTAGTATTCTTTAGTAAAAGAGAAAGGGCCTTTTAATAATCCCCCTTAACTATTATTTATAGGCGACGCTATACTATCTTAGGAGTTAAGATTAGAGGTATATCTTTT